TTTGACCTCCATACAACCATGAGTTTACAGTCTGACGCAGCAAGAGACCAATGACTCTCCAGATATTGTGATATATACAATTTATATTTTCACATCTCCTAGTCATATTTTTTTCAATTCTGTTGCTAGCTATTCTTTCATATCAGAGCAGTATTATGATTCTCTTGATTTGTCTTCCATTCCATTACCTATTTCGTTATCTGTGGTTTTGCTTACGAGAGATGGTATGGTTGCTAGTATGGTCTGTTTTTGTAATTTGAAGTTTTCTAACATAATTTGGAGACCTGATTTGATTTTATTGCCCATTTATATATTTGATTTATTTTGGGTATGGACTAGATGAGTCAATATGGGGCTTGGTTTGATTGCCCGTTAAAAAAAGTTAACTCTTTATCAGAGTGGTGAGAGTTTTGTATTTAAGGGAATCATGAGAATTCTTTCCTGTCTGATTTCTGCTTTAAAAGTAGATAGACTTTAAAGAAAAGGTAGTTCAATATTTTAAGCATCTGTCAGAGATGTGAGGTTCTTTTCTGTATCTATGAGTAGTGTCAAATTTAATAGGAATTTGATCTCCTCCTCACACCAAAACAACAATACCTAAGGAATAATGCAGCATAAATCAGTAAAAAAGAAAGAGATTATTGGTTAATTCTCTTTGATAAAGGTACAACAAACCAAGATACAGATTGATCTACTATTCGAGAGGTAGATCGACTCCCCACAAATCCTAGGCACTGCTAGGAACAATTACAAAGAAAAACTATAACGAACACAATCACATAATGAATATTAAAGTACCTAATTAGCCTCATATAAGTCTCCCTAATTCCCTCCCAAATCTCAATTCAAATCAGCCCCCTTTCTATAAATAAATCCTTTCTTAATTCCCTCCCAAATATGGATTCAAATCAGCCCCGCTTTCCCTAAATAAACTTTACTAATTTCTCCTAATTTTGGCTTCCTATGGTAAGTAATTAAAGATGGATTTATTCCCCTTTGACCCCCCTCTTTCCTTGTCCATCATCCTTGCTAGTAGGGCCTACAGACTCTTTCGGTCTATCAATACTCCCTTCCCAAAGATTTACCATGTCCTTACGGTGGAACGAATGAAACTGCTGTTGAATTATGCGGTACGATTCCCATGTTGTTTTATAGTTGAGCATATCCTTTCACTCGATTGACACTTCTCTAGTTCCTCCTGCTGTTGAGCGGACTTTTTCACTTACCTTGGCTCTAGGATTACATCCATTTCTTTTGTCAAGGTCATTGGTAGCGTTGTTGATGGATTGTGGTCATTGATAACTTTCCTCCGTTGGAACACATGGAACATCTGGTGTATGGTGGAAGTAGGGGTTATTCATGGCACCAATCCTCTCCACCACTTCATAAGGCCCATAATACTGTGGAAATATTTTTTCATTTCTTCTTTGAGCCACAATCTTCTATCTATAGAATCGAATCTTCAAATACACTTTATCACCTACCTTGAACCGCCTGTTGAAAGACTTCAACCTCTCATTTATAGTTGCCCTTAGAACTCCACTAATGTTGCCCCCCATCACTTCCCCAGGATTAACACCACTATAAGAACTTTGGCCTTGAACAGAAAGAGACTGCAACATCTTTGCCCAACTTATGTGTTTGTATTGATTTGCATTTTGTTATATAATTCTTCTGCGCCTCTGAACCAATAAATTCTTTGCCTTTGATCTTCGAACGGATCTAACCATGTAGTGGATGTTTTTAATAATGAATAGATAAGCCAACACAGGATCCTTATATTGCTTAGATTTGTCGTTCAAGATAGTTTGAAGAGCTTGCATAATTCACATTGTAATAATTGTCAATTGGTAAGTTGAATCTTCTTCTACCTTTTTATACTCCTGAAAAAACTTCTTCAAAGTTGATTGATATTCGAATAAAAACTTCACATAGTTAATTATATAGCTAGTCAGATGGTGCATAGTTCCATCCATCACACCAGTTTTTGTTGCATCTTCTTCCTCTGCTTTTTTAAAATCATAAAAAATTTCTTGAGCAGTCTGGGCTAAGTGCCTTGAAAGATTATGAGCATTATTCCTTGACTCAGAACAAGATTTTCCTTTATAGATCATTTCAATCTATGAATGAAGCTTGCACATTATTTAATACATGTCTAGAAGCACAAACAACTTCTCTGGTCAACATCCCCAAAACTAAAAAGCATCAACACATTGTCTGTTGTTACTTCAACAAAGCAGCGATCCCTAATAACATTGTTACCATTAAAAATTTGATCACAGAATATTCTTTATGCAGCAAATAGGAGTTTCACAGTAATCCTCATATAATGAATCCACTTTCCAATTTTGGAATCTAGAACCTCACATGCAAACTTTTGTAAATTCTCTTTACTGAGCTTTTTCACTCCTTTCACCCTGAATTGCCCTCACCACAGTTTTAAGAGAAACCTTGGGTTTGGACTTACCAGGATTCCCCTCGATCCTCACATTTTTTGCTCCCATCATGAATTCCAGTATGAAGCTCCTAAACTGTTGCCCTTGTTACTTCTCTCAAGTGAGTTTTTAGCCTCCACCATCTGTGCTAGCTTTATAGCCTCCCCCAACCCTTTTGGCCTCAATAACCGGACAGCGGCCTTGATCTCTAGTTTGAGCCCCTTCATGAAATTCCCCTTCAACTGTCTCAGATAGCCTCCCCAATCGGCTAGAAAGGTACTTAAACCTCTCCCGATAATCCATCATTATCCCTGCCTAAACCAGAGAAAAGAACTGCTCGTAAAAGTCTCCTTTCTAACTTGTTCATAAATATTTTAATAAATTATCTTTGAACTCCGTCCACGATCGGATTGGATCTGTCATGTCTCTCCACTGATACTAAGACAAGGTCTTCCCCTCCAAACATAAATCCGCATCGTGAGTCTCTTCTCCGTTATCCCGTTCACTGCAAAGTACCTCTCTATCCTATGTATCTATCCATGAGCATCTTTCTCCTAAAAAATAGGCATCTTCAACTTTTTCACTCTCGGATCCCTCTGCCCCAACTTTCTCTTCCACCTCCGGCTCCTCTCAGATGGCGATTGTTGTGAGCTCTCCATTATTTTCCTCCACCCCTCCTCCTTTCATAGAAATCAGATTAATGGGTCAACCTGAACTTGCCCCGTTTATTGAATGGGTTGACCCGAACTCATATTTTTTGGGTCGGATTCGGGTCGGGTTGGCAGGTTGGGTCATTTATTGACACCTCTATATGAGGGATTAATTACTTACTCGTTTTAATGGTCCATTTTAGCTAGGTCTTGGGTTTGATTTCATGTTTGAAGAAGGCTATTTTGTTTGGAGGCACCTTGGGTTGCTTTCATTATTATTTCGATAAAGGAAAACAAGTTTCTTTATAATTTTTGGAAGGGCCATTTGGGATTTGATAAACATAAAACCAAAGTGAAAAAATCGGCTCTTAGCGAAATACAGATGGGCAGATCAATGTGGTAAATCGGACAGTAGTCCGTACATTGAGATGCTACAATCGTGGCATTTGAAGACATGGGATGAAAGCCTTCCCTACATGCAATTTGTTCAACTGATATCCTTGGGACAACATTAATGTCACCAATTAAGGTGTGTTTAGGGTTCTTATTATAATGTACTTTTGAATTGGCATAGAGGAGGATAATATTATTGAAGAGAAGGAACCGCGTGAGCACTACAATCATTCACAAAATACAACAGAAGTAAGAAGGAAATCTAAAAAAATCTCAGGAAAGATACAAGCAGGACAAGCACATGATTAAGTGCACTTTTTATGAAGAATATTTTTTTGGTTAAACTAGTGTAAAGATTGAAAAACGATGGATAAAAGATCAAGTCCATTCATTATGTTACTCCAAAATGTACAAGTGATTTGTGAAAATGCATTTTTATTAGACCTGTCTTCCTAGCGTTTACTGTTATCATTACAAAGAATGTAAAGTTGTTAGATCCATAGAAGCACGGTTAATCTCCTTGGGCTGGTAGGATAGCCTCTTGAGTGTGTCCATTAGATCATTCAACCCATTAAGGATTAAATTTTATTTGAATTTATGTTATCATCCTTTTCTTATCTATTCCTAGATTTAAGGCTCTGGAATAGCTCTTTCCTTGTATTTAGGAATTAGTTGATTGAATCTTGAATAAAGTTTGTCAGCTTTCCAAATTTGAAGGAAATTTCTATTCATAGATTCTTGCAAGTAGTAGGATTTGAATTTCCTTGTTGTATTATAACTATAACCATTTGATGGAATGAAAATCAGGAAACAAGCAGTTTCAATTCTCAAATTTTTAGATTACTCTCTCTTCTCACTATCTCTCTCCTCCCTTTTGTTTCCATTAGCTGTAGGACCAAAATCAAAAAGGTTAGGGACACCATGAAGCAATCGACAAAGCTCTTAAGGGTGGAAGGTGCAATTGGTATCTCTCTCTGTAAATGCTATTTGTTGTGACTTTGGTATGCGGATGAAATAAGGGCCCAGTCACTTTGTTGATTTTGTTGTTAACAAAAAGTTATTCCTGTGAATGAATAGCACCAAGGTCTCATAACGAACTGCTGGTATGGAGTTTCCTCTGAAATTTATAAATAAAGAGAATATGTTACATTATATTTTAATGTGTGTCTCTCTGTTTTCTTTTTTCTGCTAAGGTGGTGGGGGGTCGGAGGTGAAGGCGGAGCTTGGGGTTGGGGGTTGAGGGTTGGGAGGGGAATCGGGAGCGAAGGAACAATTGAAAAAATAATGTCATTTTGAAATTGATGACTGAAGAAGGAAATAAAGCTCCTACTCCTAACTGCAAACTATTCTAAAATGAAATCTTTGAAGCATGTTGCTCCATTTATGGAATTGTTTTTGTGATGCAATCTCTTTTTTAGATTCTTCAGTTTATTTTCATTGAAAACAATGAATGTGATACATTACTGTAATTTCAGCTTTGTACGCTCATGAATATGAATAACACTCTCACTTTTATTCCCAGTTTCTAGGTATGATGAATTTTAAAGAGTGGCTTTCTTGCCATTCTATATCTAAATCACTGCTCTCGACAAGGCCATTCAGCTTCTTTTATGATGAATCATCAGAAAGAGAATTTTGGCATCATGGTATTTGCTGTCAATTTGTTTTTCTTGTCTGATTTATATAGCTTTACTTGCTGGAACCTTAGTTTCATCGATAGCTGTTTATACTTGTTCAAAAGTTTTTTTTTATCTGACAACTAGTTCTTTTTATGTTTACTGTTCAAATGACGTTTATCACAATATGATTTTTTTTCATCACGTCATTTACGTTGTTGTTGTTGTACGTTATTTACTTTGCAAAAAAACTTATTCTGCAACTTCCGAAAGATATGAATGGTTGTTTTTTCAATCTATATGTATTTGTTTGTTATTATCTAAGTTGTTTAGAAGTAAGATGGGTTAAATAAAATTAAAAAAAAAAAGTAAGATGGGTTAAATAATCTGCTGAAGTCTTGGGATGAAAATATATATTATTAAGGGAACATGCTTCCTTTGAGGAAAACATAAGCACTTACAGTTGAGGAAATATTTCCTAATTAATATCCTCCAAATCAGTCCCCAAATCAGCCCCAAAATCTGCCTTCTTCAATTAGGAAATATTCTTAGTTAATCCCCTCTAAATCAGCCCCCAAGTGCCGGTCAAGAGAAGGACCGGTCCAGGAAAGGACCAGTAGGACCGGTCCAGGAGGGACCCTGATGAGGGCATCCACCGTACATTTCGACATCGGCGGGATCGTAGATCGACGGTTACGATTCATAGTATTTATTTTTGATGTTTTAGTGCATTTCTTTTATTTATTTTTCAGTTTTCCACTTGTACCCCTATGAGGGATTTGTGTCATGTTATAGCCTAAGGACATTTGGGTCTTTTACTTTTTGTGCTTTGGAGGCCTATATATGAAGGCCTAGTCTTTGTATTATTTACTAATGATGTTTATGAATGAAAATTTATCCACTTTCTTACATGATCTCTTGGTGAGTTCTTGAGAGGAGCAACCCTTAGTGGGTGAGAGCAATACCTGTCAATCTTGGTGGATTCCAAGGTTCGTGGTTCATCGTTTCTTCTCCTCTCTAAACCGCCCCCCATCCCAACCCCATCGGACTCCCCAGTTTTCCGGCCTCCGGCCACCACCCACTCCACCACCAGCTCTCCCCCTCCACCCGACTCCCCCTTGATTCCCACCCCAAGCCGCCGGCCCACCCCCTCTTGCCCAAGTTTGAAATTCAAATTCCTTTGGCCATTAATCACTTTCCTAAAATAAGTTTAAGCAATTAGGAAAGTCATCAAATTGAATTTCAATGAAAGTTTGATTCGAATTCTTTCCTAATGCTAAAACTTAAATTTGGAAACCTCCCCTTTTTAAATTAAATATGAAATTAAATTCATATTTAATTTGAATTAGTTACTTAAACCTTGGGGCCCACCTAATTAAAATAAATCCCCTCCTCTCTCTATATGACCGGCCCCTTCATTGTGCCTTTCTCTCTCCAATTTTCATTAATTGCTCTCTATTAAGACTCCCTAATTATCTCCCACATTATTTCTTTCAATGAGAGTTTGAATTCAAAATTCAAATTCTTTCCTTCCGAATTCACCTAATCTGAAATTAATTTCAGATTTCTCTTGATTTCTTCAAACCCTAGCCAAGACCAAGTCGCCCCCTCCCCTCTCCACCTCCTCCCATCTGAGAGCTCACCCAACCCCCTCCTCCTCTTGACCAAGTCTCTTAAGTTGCGGCTCCTCCATCTTTATTCCATCGCTACATACCAATTCCGCTCATGATCATGAATGGCGGATCCGGAAGTTGATCACGGATTTGTTTACGATTCTCAAGAGGAAGTTGACATCATTCAATCACCTTTCTTCGATCTCGGATTTGGGTCTGAAGGCACCGTTGAAGAATGCGTAGAGCGTATTCTATTTACTTTGGCGGACGTCATCGAAGAGCAACAACCTACAGGATCGTGGAAGATCGCAGGATGAACACCCGTCTCTCCAACTCCGGCCAACTCTCCGTTGATCAAAACCACTGGCATCCTCTGTCTTGCAGTGGCATCACTGGGCTTGCTAACTTTTGTCCTCCACTAACCCTACTTCCAAAGAACGATCGAGATGAAAACTCTAAGGTGAAAGTTCTAATTGTTAAGTGGTGGATTATTTTTAATCGCAATTTTGTTTACTATTTTTTTGTCATTATTTCGGATCGCTCTGTTAATCTATAACGTGTAACCGCATGCTAGAAGCAAGTCAATAACTACGAAAACTAAAAATCCTAACTTAGTGAATCATTAATGTTATAATTTCATTACGGAAACAAATTTCTTAATAAGATACTGCAATTCCGTTGGTTGAAAACCCGATCTAACAATTAGCAAGTTAGGCAAAATTGGAATGACCATGCGACATGCACGGTTGCATCGGATCGGCTAATGCCCCTTCCATAATGGCCTTATGTATTCTACTCATTGATTAGTATGTCATTCTAAAACTATTGCATGTAAATTGTCTTCCAATGGAATTTTTTGTCTTTCTATGCTTCATCTTAATGACTTGGTAAATTAGAAAGATTGTTCTTAGAAAATTACGTTGGACATGCCAAATTCTTTCTATGCTAGATGACTTGGATTGACTCTTCTTGGCGGCATGCTAGATGGCTCCGATACCAAATGACACCGCTAGTTATATGCAAAGATCAGGAAGAGAAGAAAAAATAATCTAGAATTGATTGTTGGCTCATTTACTAGACATTAGACAACCAAGAAGTGTACAAAGCACAAAAGAATAAAACTAGAAATCTAGAACTAGTCAAGACACTTTTCTTGAGGCAGAATATGTTGCCAAGATGAATCTAGCTGCTGAAGTCTGGGCCAAGTACCAGGAATTTTGTTATTCTTGGTGGCCAGAATGGGTTGACAGTAGTTTTCTTGATTGCTGGTAGGAAGTGCGACGGCTACATGCCCTTCTTTGTAGGGAATTATGCACCGTTTACTGGCTGGAAGGGTTCTGGTTGGCTGGAAAGAAGATCTCCCAGCAATAGGAGTGCAGGCCGGTGGAGAGGAGGAAAAAGAGGTGCTGAGTGGTTGACTGGCTGGGAAAAAGAATTTCAGAGATGGAACTGCAAGTCGGCAGAAGAGGAGGAAGAGGAAGTGCTGGCTGTCGGTTGGCTGGAAGCTGGGAGAGAGGAAGAAGATTGGAAACTGGCGCCTGGCTGAAAGGGGATGAGAGGCAGAGGGAAGGGGAAGGGCTGTCGGCCATTGCCTAGATACTTCCCGAATACATAGAACAAAAGTGCTATGGCTCTTTTCTAAACACCAAAATGTGCCATCTCTTGTTAAGGCTCATCTATTTATAAGCTTTCTTTAAAGAAAAAAAAGGTTAAAATAGAAAAATAATGAAAAATAAAATAAAATAAAATAAAAATAATAATAATAAAACAAAAGGAGGAGGATTGGGAACCAGTTGGAACTTCCTCCCGTAATAAATAATACCTCTGGCTCATGGCCTTAGTGGTATCAATCTGATCCTTGTACTTAACAATTAATACTTTGGTATCTTAGGTTAGAACATCCTACCTTTCTATTTCCCATAATATTTAAAAATATAGATTGTTCTTCATTTCAATCTGAAAGTTGTAATTTATCAAAGTTAACGTACCACATATTCTTCCAAACTTTATTATGCTGCAAAATGATCGTGTCTTTACAGTTTACCACTAATTTTGAAAAAAAAAATGATTTGTAAGATTCATTGATGATCATATACTCTATTTTGTTGGATCTACTTGATGAGTTAAAAATCTAAAGTTGAAAAATTATTCAAGGAAATTTATACTTGATTGAGAACCAATTTCAAACAAAAATACGTTTTTCTAATGAAGAATAGGAAAGGTATTTTTATTAACCAACAAAAATATTTAAATTTGACTTGGATTACTTGGTTGCAAGGTTGTTGAAATGCCCACTGAACCTAGCAAAAAATTGCAAGCTAACGAACTCTAGGGCATTAAAAACGTATAACAATACCAAAGCTTTGTGGGACGACTAATCTATCTGTCCTTCACACGTTCATACATTGTATTTTGTGTCACCTTGGTGAACCAGTTCATGAACTCACTAGGACCAAGTTACTTTGATGTTGTATACAGGATTTTAATCTTGGAAAAGGGTTAATATTCAAAAAAACAATGGCATCTCTAGTCAAAATTAATACTTATGCAGATTGAAAAAGAAACATTATGGATAGGAGGTCTTTATTTGGCTATTGCATTTTTGTTGGAGGAAATCTCATCTTATAGAGAAGTAATAAATGCGGTCAATAGAAGCCACACGGAGGTTGAAGCTCTTGCCCGTTGATTTGTGACTCAATGTGGATCAAGCGGATTCTATCTGGCCAGAAGATTTTCATTCCATCACTGAAGGCTTGTTGTGATAATAAGGAAGCTATCTCAATATCTCACAACTCAATTTTTCATGACAGAATAAAATATGTGAAAGTTGATGAACACTTCATTCAAAAATCTTGACATTGGCTTGATTTACTTGACATACATTCCAATAAAAAAAAATTGTTGATATACTTACAAAGAAATAATTTTCACAGCCTAATTGGCAATCTTGCTATGGATGTTGTTTTCAGACAAGCTTAAGGGGGGAGTGATTAGAAATTAAGAGTTAGATCCAGACAAAAATTCAGGGAGAAACATAATGAAACTCAACAGCTGGTGAATTTTGAGAAATAGGATAATGATGAGGAAATTAAAAGATAGGTTTGGTAAAAATCTGAAAAAGTAAGCATGAACATGGAAGGAACGTTGGAGATTGACTATAGAATTCAAGAATTAATTCATACCATTAACTTCTGGCTGAAAATAGTAGATTCTTTGTTATAGCCATTATCATTTCTAATGTGATTGAGCAGTTAAAGAAGGAAGGAAAGCTAAAATGATGAGAATCATTACAAACCTCATACATTTACCTTTCCTATTAATAGGAGCCTTGTACAGCCTTGTATTAGTGAAGAAAAAATAACTATCGAGTGACTTCTCTAATTTTGCACATTGCACGATTGTTGCCTTTACCTATTAGTTCTTTGTCACGCCCCCTATTAGTCATTTAGCTTTAGATGTTTGGCTGACTTGAAGCTTGTGTACTAAGGAGTAGTGGCAAAACAAGGAGTTTGAACCATTGCCTAAATGGGTTAGTGCTTTTAGGTTGGTGCTGTGCTTAAGGGCTGGTCTCCAAAGTTTTTTGCCCAGAGCCTTGTGCCCAAGCATTTCATTCCAATGTTCACGGAAGTCAATTGGAATATGGGAGAAAAAGTAAAAATATAAATTTAATACGTTAAAAGATTTCATCATCTTCAATCAAGATGAATTTAAATAAAATATTTAGTACATACCCTGACTTGTAGGACCTAGTATTTATTTTTATTTTTTTTACTAGTAGGATCTAGTAGGTAGGGCCAACTACATGAAAAATAACATGCCTTAAAAAGTCATCTCATTTATGTTGACCCCATTGGAAAGCTTCTAACCAATGTTGTTAGACCTCACTTAAGTTTTATTTGGGACAACTTTTTTACTGCTTCTTAAAGTGGCTTCTTTGTATAAAAAATTAAACGTTTGTACTAAGAAGCTATTTTACAAAGCAAAAAGAAAGCCATCCCAAAAAAAGCCTTAATTAGCCTCCTCACTTTTCACTTATCCCACCATATGTCAACTCATCGACTAGAGATTAACAACTGTGAGATAAACTCAGTAGAAGACTTATGAAACATCAACAATAATATTCGAGAAAAAATACTTATCATGATATAAGTAGCAATCTCAAAGATATTTATTAAGGAAATTATGAAATAAATGCATTATAAAGCCTTTCAAACTATCATGTATATCGTTATCATATTCGTTCACTTAGTCATCAGTATATAACTGAGTGTTTTCACTTTGTCTCTTTGGAAACTATAGGCCTTCCTCAAAACTCTCTAGTCTTATTTTTAGAGGTTAGCTAGTGATAAAATTACAAGATCTAATTGGAGCAAGTGACAACTCATGGATTTCAATCTTATCTAACACTTGGTGAAACTTTGTATGACTCTCTTTTGTCATATTATCATATTCTTTCTACCTAAGCGGCTTAATTTCTTTCCATTTCTTGTCTATAAAATTGGCATATCACAATCTAGTCTGACATCCTAACGACCTTGTCAGGTTTAGTTAGTAATGCATGTTCGATTACTCAAATTCAATCTGCCAACTAGGGATTTGGTCGGCCAGCTTGGTCAATCTAGCACTTATGCCAACAGGTCTACTATAATCTTGTTAGTTCTACTCGGGCAACCAATAAATTTTTTTTGGCTTAATTTGGTCTTGCTGGCCCACTATCCATACAAACAACTTGGTCTCAAAGGTTTACTAGGATGAGCAATCATTTTTGTATAAGGTTAGTCGAGCAACTTCCAACATTTGTTTGACATTACACTTGTGTATATTCGTTGGGCCATGCCCCTTAGGTTGATCCCAAAAGGGAAAAATTTAATTTGGATTTCTTGGTCTTTATAATAGTAGCTTTTACATCACAAATCGATTGAATGAGGATGGTGTCTAGCAATGACTATGGTGTTCTCCTTTTTGCGTACTATCCTTTTCTCTTTTCCCCTAAAATTACGATTGTTGTTCATTTTCTGGCCATGACCTGGTAGTGACTTGTCATTTTTGTGGGTAGGAATTAACTTGTAATCTCACTTCCCACCTTGGCTGGGATCTTCTCAGTATCTCTGGCAAAACCTCCCACGTTTTAGAGTTTTTTATATTACATCGAATGAATATTAGGTTTCTACTTGATATGCCAATAACTGGGAGGAGACCTTGGGCAAATTGGATATTATCATGTTAGTTTGGAATAATGAAAAATAAGATTTTTGTATGGTTGACGTGCGCAAATCAACCATAGGCAGAAGGTCAAGTTCATTTATTAGTTGAAGTTAAATTCGGGGAAAGCATGATTCAGAAATTGGCATCATTTTTTTGTGTGGAAAAACCCCATCTTTTGCTAACCTCAAAAAGTATGGCTGCTATTCTTGAAAAAAAAAGGCTACTATTCTTGAGTAAAATCTTATCACATAAGCTGCAACTGTTGTTATGATAAAATCTTGGTCCTTGATTTATTCTAATGATCTATTGGATGTCTAGGATAGTTTTAATCTCCTGGGTGTGCATGCAAGGGTATAAATAATGTCATTCAAATTTAAGATAATGAGTATAAAAGAACATACCTTCATATCTTCATAATTAATTAAATGAGTAAAGATGTACAATCTATTTCTGTTTCAGGCACCATGGACATGGTAACTGGTGCGACGATTTCTTCTGAAAGAACTCTAAGTGAGAACCAAGTAAACGTATCATCAGCCCATGAGCAGTCCCTTGTGACTGAAGCGTCCGCTCTAGCTCAATATAATAGCAACAAAGGGAACAAAGATCCTTTGACTCAAGTTGAGGCATTTCAGCTCAGCTTCCTCCGTCTTGTCCAACGAATTGGGCAGTCACCAGCAAATCCTGTTGTTCTTCAGGTTCTATACCGGTTGGAGCTTGCAAGCTTGATACGAGCTGCTGAATCCAACGTAAAGAAGCCTGGCCTTAAGATTGATAAAGCTAAAGCTCTAGCGTTAGCTCTGGAAGAGTCAGGCCATGATGATATTGATTTCTCTTTAAAGATACTTGTCCTTGGAAAGACTGGCGTGGGTAAGAGTGCAACCGTAAACTCTTTATTTGATGAAGCAAAAGTAACCACCAATGCATTTCGGCCTTCAACGGAGGGTATTCAGCAGGTTGTTGGGACTATCAAAGGGATCAAAGTCACATTTATTGATACGCCTGGCCTTTTACCTTCGAATAACAACCAGCGTAGGAACAGGAAGATCTTGATTGAAGTCAGAAAGTTTATTAGGAAATCCCCTCCGGATGTCATTCTTTACTTCGAACGACTTGATTTTTTTGACAGGATTTACTATGATTTCCCTTTGCTTAAGCTTATCACCAATGTCTTCGGTTCTTCCATCTGGTTTAACACTATTCTTGTTATGACTCATTCTTCATCCCCTTTACCAGAAGGAATGGATGGTTATCCAGTAAGCTACGAGGAATTTGTGGGCCAACGTACAAAACTTCTGCAATCATACATACACCAAGCAGTATCCAATACTCAGCTTGAGAATCCTGTCCTTTTAGCGGAGAATCATCCTATGTGCATGAAAAATTCCAAAGGAGAGAAGGTTCTTCCCAATGGTCAAGCTTGGTTGTCACAGCTTTTGCTGTTAAGCATATCTACTAAGGTGTTGGGTGATGCGAATTCCCTTCTAAAGTTTCAAAACAGCTTTCAATTTGTGAAGTCTGATAGTATCAGACAGCCTTCATTACCACATCTCCTTTCATCACTTCTTCAACCACGTTCAACGGGGACCAACATAGGTGGAAATGATTTTCAGGTGGATGATCTATCAGATGGTGAGGAGGATGAATATGATCAGCTTCCACCAATCCGTATCCTAACCAAGGCCCAGTACCAGCAATTATCTAGATTGCAGAAAAATGCATATCTGGATGAATTGGACTATCGGGAGACTCTGTATCTAAAGAAACAATGGAGAGCAGAGATTAGAAGGAATAAAGAAAGATTGGTTTCAAATAGTGATGCATCTGAAAGCAGTGAATATGAAAACAGTTCTTCACATGAGGTTGTCCAGTTGCCGGACATGGCTATTCCATTAAGTTTTGACTCCAATTGCCCTTCTCATAGATACCGATGGTTACTGGGAACTAATGAATGGCTTCTTCGGCCTGTTCTAGATTCCCAAGGATGGGATCATGATGTTTGTTTTGATGGGATCAGCTTGGATTTTTCTAAACAAATCAAAGGAAACCTTACAGCTTCAGTTGCAGGTCAGATGAGGAAGGACAAGGTGGATTTCAGTATCCAATCCGATTCTGGAGTAAAATTTGTGCATGGAAAGTACTTTTTTGTGTCAGCTTTTGACATTCTAACGGCAGGCAAGGCTTTGGTTTGCACTTTTCGTGGAGATTTCAAGTTCAAGAATTTGAACTGCAATAGTACAGGCTGCGGGGTTTCTCTGACTTCATTCGGCAAAATGCATTTCATTGGAGCTAAGCTTGAGGACTCTATTTCACTTGGTAAGAGGTTTAAGCTTGTAGCCAATACAGGTCGTCTTGTAGGCAATAGTCAGGAGACATACGGTGGAAGCGTGGAGGCAACAATAAGAGGAAAGGATTTTCCTGTGAGAGACGAGAAAGTTACCGTTGCTGCTAACTTCCTTACATATGATAAAGACATGGTTCTTGGAGGAAGTTTTCAGACTGACTTCCGGGTAGGTCGTGTTGCAAAGATGTCTTTCAATGCAAATATGAACAGCAGAAGCTTAGGTCAGATTTCATTTAAAGTCAGCACATCAGAGCATTTTGAATTGGGGTTAATAACGGCTGTTTCGCTTATTCAAGCTCTGTTCCATAAGAGAAATAAGAGCCATGAGTGGGAGAAGACTTGAGATTTAGGCTTCGTTTGGAACAGCTTTCATACTGCTTTCTAAAATAGTTTTCTAGTACAAAATTTTCTAATTCAAGAAATTTTTGTTCTAGAAAGCTTTTTAAAAAGTAACAAAAAAGCTGTCCCAAATGAAACAATGCAATTTTGTCACCTGTTCATTGTATTTTACGAGATATTTGCACAGGTTCACTGGTGAAGAAGGAATTTAGCTGACCGGTATCTATACATCTATTAATAATAACACATGTTTCTATTCAATTTGTTGATTATTTCCAGCAGCCAAGCTTTTTGGTAAAAATGGAAAATTAATGGCATCTACATCCACGTTGTCAGTATCGGATATCTACTGTTGTTGATTAATCAAGTTTTGGTCATAGTGAGAAAGAACTTCATGCAACTCAGGAAGTGCCGTGCACCACTGTTAGCACAGGTACATAACTAACCCTTTTACTTTCTATCATGCAATTTAGGATTTGTTTGGGATAACTTTTCTCTGCTTTAATTTTTAGAAAGCACCCATAATTTCATTTAGTTACTGCTTTTTTGTTGCTCTCATTATTTTTCAGAATTTTTTATTGTAAAAAGTTATTTATTACAACCGAATTAGCTGAGTTGTTTTTCTCACAAAAACTTCACAATCAATTTTATAAGTCGTTGCAACAATCTCTTATTTTCTCAATATATCATGAGAATTTTACATATATCTACTTTTCAGAAGCATCCCGATATGTTGTAGCAGATTTGTAAGGAGCAATAGCTAAATTTATGTTGCAGTGTTTTCATTAATGGAAGCATATTAGTCACATAACCAAAATTATGTTGAAGGAAACAAATAAGGCATCTAAATATCATTAACAAGTGGTATTTAAGCTCTTATTTTTGCAACTTCGGCCGCGGGATTGACCTATCATTGATCAACAAGAACAACATATTTTCTTTGATAATGTTTTATTTTGGGTATTCCTACGATTTGTTTAATTGACACAAATTGTTACTCAAGTCTTACAGATATTTCTATTATGGTCAGCTTCGATTCGATTGATTCTTGTCAAATTAGTATCCGCATGTTGTGAGGGCCATTTTAGTTATATAAAAATGTTTGATTATTTAATCATTAATTTTATGATTGAGAAGAAGGAGAATATGAGTTTTTTTTTTTTCTTGGTGAACTCTCTTTGATTGTTACTAATTTGATTTGCATTTTTTAGGGTTTTAACTATGTTCTGAATATTGAATATGTAATGCGGTCGGCATTCATTAGTGCTGCAATAAATGCGCGAGCCATAAATCTTTAGTTCAAAAGTTGGCAAATTCCTTCCAAGATCAGCAGTGTGTAGTGTTATCTAATTTTACAGGATCCATTGTTGTTATCAAGAATTCTCATGTTGATATATTAAGATATTTCATTTTGATTAACCTTTATGAATATTTTTATTACTAAACAAAATTATATTAGATTAATATTCATTTATTTTGAATTTAGATTGGGTGGTTAAAATGAAGAAGTGCTTCAATAGTGTTATGAGATAAAATAATAATATTTTGACTTAGGTTTCGTTTGGGATGGCTTTCTTACTGTTTCTTAAAACAGCTTTTTAGTACAAACATTAAAATTTTTGTACTCGAAAGATGCTTTAAGAAGCAGTAAAAAAGCCATCCCAAACGAAACCTTAGGCTTCCATTGGGGTTGCTTTCTTAGTTCTTTATAAATCAAATTTTTAGTATAAAAATTTAAAATTTTGCATTAAAAAACTGTTTTAAGAAGCGGTAAGAAAGTCGTTTTAAATGAACCCTTAGGCTTCAATTGGGGTTGCTTTCTTATTGTTTTATAAATCAATTTTTTAGAATGAAAGTTTGTTGAATTAGAAATTTTTTTATTAGAAAGTTGTTTTAAAAAGTCGTAAAAAAGTTGTCAAAATAAAGTCTTAAAAAAAAAGTTTTATAAAGCCATAATTAAGTTAGCAATGTTGTTTTAACTTGAGTGTTGAGAAGTGTAAAAAAAAAGCATTTATATCATTACAAATATAAGAAGAATTAGTATATGATTCATTCATAACATTTAAATAATTACAATTTATGATTAATCAATTAGTGATTAAATTACAGAAATTTAAGAATTATACAAGTATTGAAATATCCTTATTAATTTCATCTCAAATTGAATAACAAAATAAATAAATAAATCTTTCTTAATAAAAAAAAATGACTTAACTGGTTCATTCACAAGTCGAATAAATATAAATTTATTATTTAAGAATATTATATCAACAAATATAAGAATTTGAGAACAAATTAAACGGTTCATTTTTTGGATCAAAATTAGGTTAATAAGTCAATCTGAATTTAAACTAGTCAAAATTTTAGGCATGAATTGTATGCGCTTATTAAACGAGTTAATCAAACCTGAACTTTTTTAATAGGGTTCAAAATGAATTGGGGGTCATTTTTGACTTTTTTTTTTTTTTTTTTTTTTTTTTTTTTTTTTTTTTTTTTTTTTTCATTTTTTGACACACTCTGAATCATGCTTGCAGCCAAACAGGCTTAGACTTATTATTTTTATTTTAATTATTATAAATTATTTGAAAAAAAAAGTTCATTAAAATTGATTTGATTTATGGAAAAAATAATTTGAAAATGTCTCCAAAATTTCAATGTAAATTCAAAATTCAAAAGTTAACAAAATTTGATATTTAAAATTGAAATTTAAACATCTAAATAACTTAAAGCAATATATACATTTACCCTTCGCAATAATTTGCTGAGATGGATAAATTTAGAAATTATTTCAGCTCACAAAGAGCGAATATTTGGTCGAGAATATTTCTATGATTCATTCTCAAATTGTCTCTTGTCAGTAAGGATGTGATACATGTCTTATAACCGATATTTTCACCGACAAATGATACCACTGGTAAACGGTTATGATCGAGACCCTCTAATCAGGTGATTTTGCTGCCAAATGGCATAAATTATGGTCAAGGCTAGAGCCTGTATGTTCCTCGACAATTTCAAATACTTGAGTAATGAATCAATAAGATATGATTGATAGGGCACAAAGCCTTATGTTAGCTAAGGTGGATTCAAATTTGTCCACTTAGACAAATATTCACCCTAGGTCTACGAGGTACCTTTGGATGAAGCAACTTATAGCTGTTGACAAGGATCATTTTGTTAGGTTAGGTCGATTATCTCATCTGACTAAGTAGATTAGGGACCATGATGGCCTGGGATGACAGAACTATGAGATTTTGATCGGGTCTATCATTACTTCCCCACCATCCGCTTTAAGTATAAGATAATAAATTTTTAATTTTAAATATTAAAATATAAATATCAAAACTTTGCTACTGTATTTTAATCGAAAGTTCTCTCTTGTTATCGGGATGGGTAATTAATTATAGGGGCTTGCGCCTATAGGAAACATGAACTCAGAGCTTAAAGTCTTCGCTAAATGAGGGCGAAATCTTTAGGTAATGTCTTATCTAAAACTTAATATGCTTTGTGAAATTTACTCGTTAAAACTCTCCTCATGACCCGAAAAAGAGAAAGGGGTCACCGAGAGGGAGGGGCATAAATTTTTGTAGCCTGCATTAGGACAATAATATAAACTATTTCAGAACTAAAGACAACTAACTTTATGCTTGTACTAAAGTTTCTTGAAATCTTGATAATACTTGTAAAGTTTTTTTTGTTTTTTTTGTTAATTTTAAAGCTCATGCTGCTAACTTCACTCTTATTGCAGAGATCTCCTGTAGTTGGAATATTAACAAGGCATGATTTCATGCCTGAGCATATTCTTGGGTTGCATCCATTACTTAAGAAGAGCAGGTGGAAGGAGTTAAGATTTGTAGGTACACCTTTAATTAAAATTTTAAATTGACTGATTCTCTTCCTTCCTATTCAACTTAGGGAATCTCCGACCAAACTTTAAATACATGAATGACGTCGCTCACGAGCTCCAGCCGAACGATAAAAATTTTCAGTATTTGATTGCGAGGGAACAGGGCAACGTCAATATTGATGTCGCACTGTCAACCTGTGTAATTTTTCTGTCTCTACTTAATTTGACGAAAAAAATATGTCAAAGAAGAGAAAGACAGTTACCTTATCAGGAGATGAATCACCATTTTTTTATTTTTTACTGTATTTTGGAGTAAAAAAAAAAAAGAAATTTGCGGTTCGAAAGGCCATTACTTTGACTGTAACAAGGCCGGATACCCACAGCCCTTCCGTCAGAACCATTCGTCCCTTCTTTCCCTGTCAGATCCGCGACGCCTGATCAAAAACATCCGCCCGTCACTGCAGCTCTTCCCTCCTCTCCGATCAAACCAAAACAACTTCCCCACCGCTTCCAAATTTTCTCTACCGTCTGCTCGTGATTCCCGTGATGTGCTTCGATAGGTCAACGCGAGTCCTCGTTGCATGCTCGGCTGATGAATTATTCAACTTCTGCAAGTCTCATCCTTTTGCCGAGGAGAAGATGTGAGAGATATTGGAGAGGGAGATGTGTCAGATGACTTTGTGTGAGCCGAAGAACAACAATGCCCAGCACTTACGTGTTGTCTCTGTCGTCCCACTACGCGCTGGATTCCTTCCTGCTATTCACACTCTTCATCTTCTCTATTGCGTTGATGATTCCCACCGAAGTTCAAATTAGAGGATTCCATGCACCTGCCTGTTTTCCAACTACAAAGATCTCCCATCTTCGAAAGACTGTAATGTGGATCATTAATTGGGTCACCGTGTTTACTGTAAATGGAAAGGAGGGTGCTTCCCCCTACTGCGGGAAGCGGTTGATCTCTATTCTGTCTCCAATCTCCACCCAAAATTAGGTGGATGTCGCTCGCTAGTCGCTACCAATTGGCCTTAGGTGGCCTCAGGTGATTGCCGGATGGTTGAAAAAATACAACAGTCTCATATGGTGGTGGGATGGCTCAGACTCCTGTAATTTCTCCTAAATGAAAATGCACAAGACTTGAACAAATTAACAGGAGGCTTGATTTGGACAACAATGAATTTGCACATTGAATGACGATGAATTGAACTGAAATAATTTGAACTTAAACATGAACAAAATAACATGGGACTTGAGCTGAACATGAGCTACAGGGAACTTGAATCAAACTACAAGAGATTGAACTCCAATTTAATAAATGCATGATCGAAAATGAAAGAGTCAAAATCAAGTAATAACTTTAATTGTTCAAATACACTCGAATGAATGCCAATAATCAAGCTAATGCCTTGCAGATTTCAACATAACCTGTTTATAATTGATCGCAACGAATGTAACCTATCCAGAAGAAAAGATCAATTAGAACGTGCAACAATATGAGTACAATCAAAACACAAAACTTCAATGAGATATCAAGGAGTCGTCACATTGATTGGAATGCAAATGTTAATAGATGGATTAATCATACGAGCCACGAGTCATCTTCAAAGGACAACAAAAGGCTTGCAGCATGCCACATGACCCACCTATAAGCCACTGTAGAGGACTCATTCATGAATTGATTGATTTGAGAAAATTGCAATGTATAAGTGAGCATCAGTGAACTGATGAAGAACCCAAAATCATCAATGGAAGAGAATCCTGATGAATGTGTTGAATCATAAGAAAACTCCCGATGAATGTGTTGACAATACGAGCAATGGACTTGTGATGCTATAGTCTCCCTACAATTGTCTTCAGCTAACTCGCAAGTACATGTAGTAGTTCTCAAGAATGTTGAAAAACATACAAGTAAAAATAGTAGCTTGCTAACCAACATGCACAAGAAAATTGACGATGAGCATATTCCGTTCGGCTGCATATATTGACATGAATATGAGCATATTAAGATTACAGGAAAATGCGACATATCTACAGTATATGCGAATCATGTGCAAGCTATTGCAACAAGAACATTACAAAATCCCCGTAGTCAACATTAAGATGCAAAAAGGCACACCAAAATACACACAAGTTAATGCAATAATTTGTCATATGAAGTGCAACAACTTGTCAATCAACAAATATGGAAGACTAGGTAATGAACATTATTCATCCAACAACCGGTGTTAGCTTACAAAGGAACACATTGAACCAGCTTGCGAATGCATGCGACAATTCGTCAATTAACATGAATGAAGAGAACAGTGTCTAATGCAACAACACTGGATATCTTATATCAACAAACAATGAATTGACAATGAATGTGTATTCAAAAACTCCGAAGCAAATGTCGTCTTCATACAATCAATTTCACTTTATTGTAAGTGAATATATTGTCCTCTTACCAGTAAAGATGTATAACGTGCAACGAGAGTAGATGCCCACGAGCTGCTATAAGAGACCTGTTGTGCACTCAACTTATCACCTACAGGAAAATACAAAAAGACTATGATACACAAAAGCTTCCATGAGCTGTTGTGGAAGACCCATCAAATATTTTAAAATTTCCCCACACATGCATTGCAATATGTATACATATAAACACAAAGAAATGCATGTGCAATCATACACCCGTATAAATACACACTTGACGTCTAGGGACGCTGCGATGGTCAAACAATAAACCTAAGTTGAAACCCGATCCTCATATGTGGGCAAATATGAATTGATGTGGCTCGAGTTATCAAACAAATGTACTATTGTGGTTTCGATCGAGACATTTGTTTTATATATTCATATTAGGCCTCAAGATCGATCATTAAGAAAATTCATTAAATCAATGCATAAATCTTGCAATGAACTCAATCCTCTTTTGACAGGTAGGCAGAGTCGACAATGTTCAATCAATAAAATGAAAATTACTCATATATCCCGATGATGGTTGTGTTGAATGTAGAACTCAACCGGATGGGTTATTTCCAGATGTTCAAAATGCCACCTAAATGCCTATAAAAATCCAAAATTCAAAACTACCAAAATTTAAATATTTAAAATTGAAATCAATCATCAAACGCCTAAACCAAAATCCATGCACTCTCCACAATAGTTTGTCAAGGTGGAAAATTTTGAAATATCTCTTTATCTCATAAAGAGCTAATTTCTGATTGAGAATATCACTTGGATTCATTCTCAATTAGTCTCCTACCAGTAAGGACGTGGCACATATCTTTTAACATGTTATTTTTTCCGCCAAATGGCATCACAGATAAACGGTTATGACCAAGGCCCTCTGAACCTGGTGGTTTGCCATCAAATAACACCACTAAATTGGGGTTTTGACCAGAGCCCGTATGCTCCTCAATGACACTAGATTCTTGAAATATGAATTATTAGGATATAATCGATAAGGCACAAAGCCCTCTGTTAGCTTAGATGGATTTGAATTTGTCCCCTTAGACAAATATTCACCCAAAATCTACAAGGTACCATTGGACGAAGCAAGCCATAACTACTGACATAGATCCTTTTGTCAGGTTGGATCAACTACCACCTATAACTAAGTAGACGAGGGACCATAATAGTCCGAGATGACATAACTATGGGATCTTAATCGGGTTCATCATCCATTCCCCCACCACCCATTTTAAGTGCAAGATGATGAAATTTCAAATTTTAAATAACAAAATTTCAAATATCAACCCATGATGCTACTATATGCTAGATAATATGTATCTCTACATATATAATTGACGGCTAGCCTTAATTGAAAGTTCATCTGTTCCTATTGGGAGGGGTAATAAGCTATAAGGGCTTGCGCCTATAGGAAATCAGAACTAAGATCATAAAGTCCTCACAAAATATGGGTGAAATCTCTTGATAGTGTCTTATTTCAAACCCAATATACTTTCTGAAAATTTACCTCATAACCTAATACGCTAAAACTCCACCTCAAAAAGGGTAGGTCGGGGCCCAAATTTGTGAAGCCCACAGTTACTTTTTATTTTTACTGTGTAACATTTTTGTATAATATCTCTAACACTATAAATAAAAGTTGATGAACTACATTTTGAATTTTTATTTATAGATCCTAAAGTTTTTGATTGTATAATAACATTTTTTTATGGGGATTTACATACTTATCACTTTATAGCATATTATTTATATATCTAACACCTAAAACTTTAATATTTCATGTCTATCACTCATATAGAACTTTAATATCAAATATATCACTTATATATTTTATTCCTACCACCCATACTACTACAAACTTTAATATTTCATTCCTTGCATTTATATTTGATCTATCGATGATAAGTATACAATATTAGATATATAAATAGCATAATATAAAATAATTATGTTTATAAATCCCCCATTTTTAACATACTTCACACTCATCATTCTCTCATTCTTCGAACTTATCTAAATCTCTCTAAATTCTCTAACTCTTACCTAAAAAATTAGGTGCTAATAAGATCGGATGTCATCCACTAACAAAATTGAAATCAACATCCAAAAAAATTATCTTTAAAAGTTCAATTTAAACAAGTGATGAATATATTTATCAAAAATTAAAACACCTATCTTCTCATTTATATAAAAAACTAGATGAAATAAAACTTGAAGGGTACGTTGCCTTATCAATTAAATTCCCTATAATGAAAAATGATTATATAAAAAAGATATGATCTAATATTCTCCTAATTAAATATAATTTTCTCAACATTAAAAAAAATCTCATTTACTATCACCAGCATTAATCAGGGAGATTTTTTCCAGATAGAGAACCATAGATTGGATTCATAATAAAAAAAATGGCGAAATTATTATACACATCAACATTTAAATGCCCATTCATCTGCTTGCATAATCAAGAAAAATCTTTTGGTGCCAAGATAAAAGCTTATATAAGAATAGTAAACTAGTTGATAAAAAAAAGTTCAAGTCAATTACGGCTAAGGCTTTGTTTGGTACGGCTTTCTTACTGTTTCTTAAAATAACTTTTTAGTATAAAAATTTTAATTTTTGTACTAAAAAGTTGCTTAAGAAGCAGTAAAAGAGCCGTCCCAAACGAAATCTAAATCTGCTATTCTACAGTTGGAAATGGGTAATACAAACATCTTGTTTTCCTTTACACAGTCAGGAATAATTCCTTTCTTTCTTTTTTTTCTTTTTTTCTTTTTTTGGATCAAGTTTCTTTACTCAGTTCTAAGACTCTTCCCAAAGTCTTTTCTGATCTCCCATAGCTGTTCTCCAACTTCTTTCATCAATGGCCGCTTAGCACGAGTAGGAGCAGCACAATGAAACGCCAAACTAAGCATTTTTGTCACCACTTCAAGGTTTACATCCTCCTGTAACTTTGGATCCAGTACCTCTCTAACATTTCCTGCATCGAACTTACTGAAAGCCTGTAAAATGCCCCAAAAATATGAACAAGTTTTACAAAATGATAAGTATTATAACAAATTGAAGTTTTACATAAAATGAGTCGTTCATTACCCATCGGACGGTGATCCTTTCATCGACGATTCTCTTCATTTCAACCGGACGGCGAGCCGAAAGAATTTCGATTAGTAGTATACCGAATGAAAATACATCACTCTTGGGTGTGAGTTGGTAAGTTCGAAGATATTCGGGGTCGAGGTAACCAGCTGTTCCTTTTACTTTGGTTGATATGTGAGTCTGACCTGCTTCTGATGGTCCAGTTCTTGCGAACCCAAAGTCAGACACCTTGGCTCTAAAATTTTCAGTTAGAAGAATATTTGATGCTTTTACATCTCTGTGGATTATTGTCTTTTCTGTTAAGAATTAGGGGAAAAAAACATATCTGTTAAATGTGAATCACCCAGTAGAGAAGCAGGTTGCAGAAATAGATTTTTGACCAAGACAATGAGAAGCTACTTAGCAGAATAATGGGCTATCCTGAAATTTGCAATATACACTTCAGGTTATCGAATATAAGAAGTTCACTACTTTATATCTTCCGTCTTATCCCAACTATTTAAGCAGCTTGTAAATCCTTCCTCTCAATTTATTCATCATGGAGTTAAAGCATGAGAGAATTTAAAATTTTGTTTTTTTATATGTTATATTAGGATGCAAAATCAAATATGATAAATGATGGTTAGTCAAATTATAGTCTCATTATGTCATAGAACATCTAAACAAAGTATGAAAACTATAGCTTTCATAATTAAAATGGCATGGTTTGCATGTAATATTTGTTATGCAATAATGATCAAGGTCTAGGATTTTCAAAGGAGATCTAATGCTTTAAAATGATGGTAAATGTAAGAAAATATTCAATGCTAATAGAATTCCTTATAAATATGCAAAACATTTGCAAAATAAGCAGTAAGCATGTAAGGATCTGCAAGGAATCAAACTAATTAACAAAGGTAGATAATTGTTACTTTTAAATGATTCAAAGAAAATAAAAGAACTCAAATCTACGTATCATTAATAAGCCTCCTTGTAGAAATTATTCACAAGAATTCAAAATCAAATATAAAAACCTCAGCATGTTAACAGTTGATAATTGCATCTACGTATGTAGACAGCAGAAGAAACCCTCGACCATTTCGACCAATCACTACAACAACAACACCAAGCCTTTGTCCCATTACGTGGGGTCGACTACATGAATCATTTTTCGCCATTGTATCTTGTTAAAAGTCAAATTCTCATTTAAATCTAATAAAAAAAAATCATTTCTAATATTTTATAACCAAGTCTTTTTAGGCCTACCTCTAGATTTCTTAACATAAGTCAAATCTAATACCTCAACTTTTCTAATTGGGTCATCGGAAGGCCTCCGTTTAATGTGACCAAACCATCCAAGGCGACTCTCTCTAATCTTATCTTCCACTAAAGCTACTCCAACCTTATCACGTATATGCTCATTTCGTATCCTATCTCTAAGGATAAAGACATTCATCCACCTAAGCGTTCTCTGCAAAACTTAACTTATTATTATGCTTAACTTAGTATTATCCTTTCGACCAATCACTAAATAAATCAAAATGGATAAGAATGAGATAACCAACCCGCATACTTAAATAAGAATATTGCATCTTGGCGGAGTGTTGTAAGAAGAAATGTCTTCACATCCAAAGAGAGATCTTTTCAATAGCCAAAAGTATTTATAGAAGAATATGATATACCCATAACTAACAATGAAATTAACATGCACCGGAGTAAAGAAGACTCAGTATACTTTCAATCAACTGCATAAAACGGTTCATTGTAATCTTCACACGTTTAGCTTACGTCATGGTGTGTGTCCTAAATTAAACAAATCACTGGCTAGGACTTTTATTTGCCATGGAATGTTGAACTAATAGCATCTGTACCTGCATATACATGGAGATATGTCAAGGCATGGGCAACGTCTATTGCTATTTCAAGTCGCTGATTAAAATCCAGAATGTGTCCATGCAGACCTGTGGAAAGTAGATAGAAACATAATTACTCCAACAAGTATAAGATTAGAAATGATTAAACCATATTAAACAGCTTACCATCAAGGTGTTCTCTGAGAGTACCATTTGGAACATACTCCGTAACAATAATACGTTCGTTTCCTTTCTCGGTGTAACCAAGTAATCTCACTAAACTCCTGTGTTCAATTTTTGCAAGAAGTTCTACTTCACTACTGAACTCATCTCGAAGAGTCCCAAAATGTTCCTGTCAAGAAGATAACATCAAGAAAGTTCCAGGATGACAATTTTTATGAAGAGCTCATTTTTTACCTAACAGTAGTAAATATATATACTGAAACCAAATGCCAACCTCATCATCATCACCACATTAGCCTTATCATGATTATTAGGAGTTGGTTTTAGGAATCCTTATTCTCAAATCTTTCCTACTAAGTGCTATTTGAAGTATTAAGGGATTGTTGGTTTGAAGTAAGATAAGTGTAAAGTATTTCAAATATAGGATTTTAAAAATATTGTTATTTGGTTTGAAGATTTTTTTTTTGAAGTATTTAAAGTTCACCTTCTAGTTTAATTTTGATGTATTTAAAAATCGTTAGATTTGACTGAGTTTCGAATACACAATAAATTGTATTCTATTGTCGCCACGGTCACCACTTGCCGTTGCTAACTGCCACTACCTCCCATGCCGCTCCCGTCCCCTACCACCGACTAGGCAGCGGCCGCCACTATCATTGAGCTTTAAATTGCATTGATTTTACACTCATCAAAATAACTTCAAAAGATTTCAAATACATCACATTCTATTTTCAGGAAACCAAATGATATCTACTCATTTTCCCTAGAAATCCTTCCACTTTAATCCATACACTAAGCTTATTAGTGTATTCCAACCCTTTGATTATCTAGTAATAAATATAGAAGGAAGCATGGAAACTTGAAATACCAAAGCTAAAACAAAAATCCTATGATATTTCACTTGGTCCTAAATATCATTGGACACGCTGCAAGCCAGCACAAGACATGCATTATACTAGAAATGGTAAAAATCAGAAGGCGTACAAAAGAAACTAATATTAAAAAGTTTTAACAGAACTAGAAAAAGCTTTCAAATTAAACTTTCTAGCTACGATGAAGGGGAATATCCTTGATAATGAGGAAATATTATGATGCGGACATCCAACCGTCTATGCTAATCCGAGGAGGAGCTGAAGATCGACGGCCGAGATCACTTTGTTTTATTTTAGTTTATTAAGTGTATTTTGATTTAATTTTGCAATTTCCCTTTTTACCCTTTGCCGCCGGATTTTCACCTCCACACGAAATCCCCCCATACCCGAACCCATGCCGCCAGCTCCACCCCATTAGCCGCCGACCGAACCTTCCTCTCCACCTCCTTTTGGATTTCCTAATTTGGTTGGGTTAATTTAGGGATTAATTTGAATTTGAAATTATTCAAATTCAAATTTCAAATTCTTTCCTAATTTAGTTCATCTATTTTTGAAAAGTGCGTAATTGAAATCAATTTGAAATTTAAATTCAAAATCTGATTTATTGTCTCACTTTCATAACTCCTAAATTCAAATCTTGAAGCCTTAAATGCTTTCATTAAATCCCTCCCATGTCCCTTAATGCCACGGCTCCCACCTGATTGTTTTTGGAATTATTTCCTAAAACCCACCCTATCTAATTGAAACAATTCCATATCTTCCTTCACACCTAGGCTCTAATTTTATTTCATAATACTAGATATGAGAATTAGGAAATAACAGCCCGTGGCTCCTTGCTGGAATCAATTTTTCTAAAGCATTCACTCCCTCTCAATCCCGTGAGCTCCTTTCCCACCCGTCTCCCTCCTCTTTATTTCCTTCCATGTATGATTTCCATTCAAATTCCTAAATCAATTCCCATTAGAATTCAGATTAGTCCTCCTGACGTTATCTATTCATTCCTAATTAAACCCATTGATTAGGTATGCCTTCATTTTCCCTCCACGGATAATTCCCCACTCCTTCCTATGTTATTACAGGAATTGATTCAGAGCCTTAAAGATCTCCCCAAGTCATTAATTCCTAAGCCTAGGTATCCGAATTTTCCAAGCAGCTTTTGGAAACAAAATTAGCTGAAGTTATTTCCAGATTTCATTAATAGGGGTTGGAGCGTGCTTCCTCTTCAAGAGCAGGCTGACATTTGAATTTCTCTGGTCTCCACCGCCTATTCCTCCCACATGGAACTTTCTACCTTCTAATACTGCAGCCCAGGTTTTCCCACCCCTGCTCTCACGTCTCCAGCAATAAGAAGCCTATTAGTTGCTGTTTTTCTACCACAGCAAATTGCTGTCCAGCAATTCCTGTTTTTCTCAAGAGAAAATCTGAGATTCTTCTCAGGTTCTGGGCAAAGAAATCAGAATTTCCTTCAGATTTTGGAGAGGAGATCCTCTCCCTAACAATCTCCTACCCGTTCTACATCATATTATAATAATAAGTAATGCATATTTTTTTATGAATAATTAGGTTCATTTGATATTTTAGATATAATAATGCAATTCAAAGTACATGTGAAGATGATTATAGATTTTTATGTTGGTTAGAACATAATCATGTGATTGGTTTTGTTTCCTATAGCTACAGCGCAAAATATAATTTCACCTATCCATTTATTAGTTAATTGCAGCAATGCATAAGCTAGAAAGTTTCTAAGTTTACAACATAGTTAGCCTCTGCATCGGTGCTCTAGGTGATTTGAAGGTTGAAAATCTCCTACCCACTACTTATGTTGTGTCATCTAGTGTCTTTGACAAATCTATCTCACATAACAATGGTTGCTTCATTAGCCTCTATCAAGCTCATCCAAATGCTAATGGTGCTCTCTATCCCTACCTCTATTGCTAGAGCCTACTACTTAATCAATGGTTTACCATCCACTATTATGACTAATGTCTTTTAACTTCTTTATCTATATACATATGATTTTACTCTAACTCCTCGAATTTTCAATTGTGTTTGTTTTGTCCACTGTCTTTATCCTAGATATGATAAATTCTCCCTTCAAGTCATAAATTTATCCTTTTCAGATATTCTAATGCCCAAAAAGATGACCGGAGCTATAATCCATCTATAAATCAACTTTAGCTCATTGTTGATGTTAACTTTCATTAGGTCTCCCTCAATTACCATTCTAATATCACAGATCTCATCAATTTTCTTGTTGAATACTATTATGAATCTAAAAATTCTTTTCTTCTCTATAATTTCCTTGTATTGATTTTGGTCTACAAGATAATCCAAATTATGCTCTTCGATCATATCAAGGTGCAAACAATGATGAGTGAGGAAGTTACAGTATTGAATGACCGATAGATCTCCCGATGATGATCATATAATATAAATTCAAACTCAAAAAATTATGAAGTACTATGACTGTTGGAGTTGCATCTCAAGTTTCATTTGCAGTGCTAAAAAATAAGAAATTCTCTCCTATTTTATTGGTTATAGAGTTCATCTACAAGACATGACCCTATCATTTTCTTAATTCATAGCTTCGAACTTTAGGTCTTCCTTTCTTATAATGGCAACAACACCAATCAGATATCTTGTAAGGGCAACAATACCAATCAGATAATTATCATTTCCTTTTACGTAGATGAAATTCATGATGGATTGAGACCATTAAAGGTAATTGATCCCATTCAATTTGTGTCCTGTAATGGGAAGAAGGTTGTTGTTTGACATAGTACCATTGAACATGGTAGGAACTTTGGGTTTGTAAGTTAGATCAAAAGCAAAGTATGTTTATCTTTTGTCCATGTTGTACTTGGTCATTATAATAGCTTAATTCTACAACCGAGCGAAGGATGCGATCAAATAAGCAACTTGGATAGATCTTCAAAGAGGCAACCTATAGAGGTTTGAGAGGTGGCAATTGCAAATTGTTAAGGTGAGTAATTACACTTGATCGAAGTGCGAGTTCATCATATATGGTTACATCTGGATTCAACATTCGGGAGAGATTTCTGAGTATCGACAAACCATGTGTGATATACATGATAAGGGAAGAAATCAGACTAGGTGGGGATAAGCAAACAACTACAACATAGACAAGAGACAAAGGTGGCATTCTTTGAAGTCGATAGGAAGATTTTATTGAAGGGATCTGCGCCTGATGCTTTGATACCATGCATAACTTTGAGAGAGAAAAAAAGCTTCTGCAAATTTCTTTAATGATAGAAACCATACGACATAAATAAGAGATAGGAAAACAATCTCACTCCTTGAATTGACGAGCTTATTACCAAATTGCCTCCATATACTAAAACATGAATGAAACAATAAAAAAAATCTAGTAACATACTATCTAAACCTAATTAGGAAAACAAACTAAAAAGTAATGAAATTCTACAAGAGAAAAACTAATAACATGGCATTTGGAAATAGATTTAATGGTACCAAAACCAATATCTACCAAAACCTATATGCATATTTTTAACCAAATCAAAATTGGTTCAATTTCAGTCGCTTTTTATGCAGTTGCTATCGTGAGTGTGGAAACAACTATTGCTACACTTCATGTAGGCGTCATTTAAGCTGCATGAAATCATCATTTAAATATGCACGTGCTCCAAGAAGAGCACTAAAGAAACCCTCAATCCCAATCATAATCATCGATACTTTTGATTTCATGTTTAATTCCTCTTTCTCCAAATTTCTATCCTCCATTATGCATGTCATATCCAATATCACTAGCAACATCCACCTTGAGCCATGTGTTTAATTGGGCAAGTTAGGAAGGTTAATTAGTCTAATGTGCAAGTATTTCTCAACAACAAGATGTTAAGTGATGCAGGACTAAATGCGTAAATGGATGAAATAAGAATTTGCACGAGTTCTTGATTTAATCAATTTAAAATTATAACTATTAGCAAATCAAAACGATCAAATAAAACATAAGAGCGGTCACGTCCGTTTAGGCTAAGTTACATGCTAAGCACTTAGAGAATCAAAACAATTTAGAAATTCAATAACATGCATAGAAGTAGCGTTCAACAGAATCTCTAATCTAACAATTAGATTAGAAACATAGAAAGTACACTCACCCTACATTTACTAAGCTTTGGCAATGAAAAAATAAATAAATAAATAAATAAAATCCTACGTTTACTAGGCTTTGGCAATGGCGAAACTCGACTCCTTGGGATTCATCATCACCTACAAGATTAGAGGATTAGAAAGATAATTGAAGAGGGGAAGAAGTTCACCTTAGTCAAACCGGTAACAAGTAGTCGATATGTTGAAGAAGCAACCCAATTCCTTCCAAAATCTGAGAAGATTTTCAGATTTTCTGGCCAAAATCTTAGAGAAAAATCTCAGAGTTCACAATGAGAAATTAGAAAGAAAATAGGCATTCAAAGGTAGCTGAGAAATCCAAGAGAAAGAAGGGAGTTGGTAGAGAGAAGAAGGGGACGAGTGAGAGAGGGAGACGGGTATAGGGGCGGTAATGAAGGAAAAAGAGAAGTGAATGAATTTCTTTATTTTCAGAAGTGGATTTACCACTTAGGCAATAATTTCATTCAATCCAGGTGAGGGGAAAGTCGGCAAAGAGGGATTAAGTGACTTTCAAATTATTTCCTAAGTATTATGTTGAAGTTTAGGAAATAATTTGAGAAGGGATTAATGGGAGATGGCATGGGGGCCGGCGGCAGGCATGTGTGGGGGTTTGATTGATGAAAGCAATGGAAGATTTCTAATTTAGGTTTCAAAATTAGGAAATATTTAATTAAGATCCTCTTGAATTTAAAATTCAAAATTAGGTCTAAAAGATAGAGGTAGACCTAAAAAGACTTTGTTAGAAAATATTAGAAATGACCTTTCTTTATTAGATTTAGATGAGAATTGGACCCTTAACATGACACAATGAAGAAAAAGGATTCATGTAGCCTATCCCACATAGTAGGATAAAGGCTTGCTGTTGTTGTTGTTGACCTTCATAGCCCACAAAAAAGGATCACAAGATTTTCCTAGCCCCCAAAAAAGATAAGTCAAATTTTTTCATCAAATGAGAAATATCAAAGACATCTAGTAAAAATCTCATGTGGAGGAAATTTTCCACATATTTATAAAATATTGCTTATGCACTAAGAATACATAGCAGCAGCAGCATTGAATCTATACTTGGTTTGCAAAAGCAGCCCAACCGAACTCAAGATCGAGCGAAATTAAACAAATTAAGCACTTAATACATGCGTGTAGTCATTTGTCACAGGCATTTAACTGCAAAATTAAATCTAGCACATCACAGCTTCATTGAGAATAATATAATGCACATGCTCAATTAATGACAAGAACAGCCAGTTTAGGGCCGGGTTGATTTTTATTATATTAATTTATGTGGCAATAGAGTTAGTGCACATGATCACCTGCAAACAATGAAACCGCCATGGCAACCTGCAGCTTTGCTCAAGGTACCCAAACATATATCAATATCATTTTAGTCATTTGTCACAGGCATTTAACTGCAAAATTAAATCTAGCACATCACAGCTTCATTGAGAATAATATAATGCACATGCTCAATTAATGACAAGAACAGCCAGTTTAGGGCCGGGTTGATTTTTATTATATTAATTTATTGTGGCAATAGAGTTAGTGCACATGATCACCTGCAAACAATGAAACCGCCATGGCAACCTGCAGCTTTGCTCAAGGTACCCAAACATATATCAATATCATTTTCACACTTGTAGATTTCTGGAACGCCGCCACCATTCTTCCCACATACAAGAGTTGCATGAGCCTGAAAAACTTAGAAATCTTACAATATTAAATTAACACATAGCAAAGTTGGAAATTAAATTAAAAAAAAAAAATTGGGATTTACATCATCAATCACCAGTAAAAATCCGTATTTTCTGCGTAGATGGATGAGTTCCATTACTGGAGCGAAATCACCATCCATACTGAAAAGGCTGCATGATCATTAAAAAATTTTCTTTATTTAAACGTTAGAACTAATTAGTTAAAACCAAGATATTGTCAGCCCGAGTTCAAAAAGTACATGACATTTAATGACCCGGGATATTAATGTAAAATCACACAAGGTTAAACATATCCAAGCAACATCCTTATCAGACAATTTTTACCTATCTGTTATGACAACTTTCTTGTTTATTTTGCAGCAAGATCTGTAAAATAACATATATTGAAAACCATGAGACTGAGTCAAAAGAAGCGTGCAGCAGAAATCAATTCAAAAAATACTGAAAACATACAGCAGGGTATTGAGATGATCCATGTCGCAGTGCTTATAAATAAAAACTTCTACTTGACGAAGCTGTTTAGCGAGGCGAATACCATCAATTATTGATGCATGGTTCAAGGCATCAGAAAAGATGGCAATTCTTTCTTCTTTAGATGGTTTTCTACCAGCAACCAAAAGAGAGCTAACACTTCCTAAAGCTGATATCAACGCCATGTTTGCAGCAAATCCAGTAGGGCAAAGAAAGCAATCCTGCAAGCTCACAAAATCAGATGACACGGAAATAACAGATCTAATGCTTCTTATTGATAACTAGGTTAAGCCTTTGTTTATGTAACGGAATGTCAGCAAATAAATTGAGGGGACAAAAAAGCAGCAGCCAATCTGCCTATGCAAACATATATAATCAGATGCAAACATGAGTTGGCCATCCCTCCTGCATTACATTTACTGGATATTACAAAGAAATCCCATTGCTATAATGACAAAATGACAAGATGACTTCCTCTTTACAAGCCAGCAAAAACCAGAAGGGTACCACAGCTCAAAAATAAAAGCACAGCGAATCAAGGAGAATGTAGCCCATTAATCTGGTCCAGCTTTGATTATAATTATAAAAAGGCCTTAAAAGTTCAAAACAGGAAGGGAGAGAAGAAAGAATCAAGAAAAGTCATTAACGGAAGAGCCAGAAGTTAAATTGGAAAGGAAACTATCAAAACTAAAAAATGTACAGTTAATAGGGAGCTAGGCATGATGTGATGCAGGACTAAATGCGTAAATGGATAAAATAAGAATTTGCACGAGTTCTTGATTTAAGCAATATAAAATTATAACTATTAGCAAATCAAAACGATCAAATAAAGCATAAGAGCGGTCACGTCCGTTTAGGCTAAGTTACATGCTAAGCACTTGGAGAATTAAAACAATTTAGAAATTCAATAACATGCATGGAAGTAGCGTTCAACAGAATCCCTAATCTAACAATTAGATTAGAAACATAGAAAGTACACTCACCCTACGTTTACTAAGCTTTGGCAATGAAAAAAATAAATAAATAAATAAAATCCTACGTTTACTAGGCTTTGGCAATGGCGAAACTCGACTCATTGGGATTCATCATCACCTACAAGATTAGAGGATTAGAAAGATAATTGAAGAGGGGAAGAAGTTCACCTTAGTCAAAGTCCGGTAACAAGTAGTCGATATGTTGAAGAAGCAACCCAATTCCTTCCAAAATCTGAGAAGATTTTCAGATTTTCTGGCCAAAATCTTAGAGAAAAATCTCAGAGTTCACAATGAGAAATTAGAAAGAAAATAGGCATTCAAAGGTAGCTGAGAAATCCAAGAGAAAGAAGGGAGTTGGTAGAGAGAAGAAGGGGACGAGTGAGAGAGGGAGACGGGTATAGGGGCGGTAATGAAGGAAAAAGAGAAGTGAATGAATTTCTTTATTTTCAGAAGTGGATTTACCACTTAGGCAATAATTTCATTCAATCCAGGTGAGGGGAAAGTCGGCAAAGAGGGATTAAGTGACTTTCAAATTATTTCCTAAGTATTATGTTGAAGTTTAGGAAATAATTTGAGAAGGGATTAATGGGAGATGGCATGGGGGCCGGCGGCAGGCATGTGTGGGGGTTTGATTGATGAAAGCAATGGAAGATTTCTAATTTAGGTTTCAAAATTAGGAAATATTTAATTAAGATCCTCTTGAATTTAAAATTCAAAATTAGGTCTAAATCAAATACTTTCCTTAAATAGAGGGGCTAATTTAGGAAATAATTTGAGTTCAAATTTGAAGGAATTTGAATTTCAAATTGATCCCAGTAAGCCCAACCCAATTAGGAAAGAAAATAAAAGAGGCAAGGGGATTAGTGGCCGACGGCTATGGCCTTGGCCGGCGGCAAGGGGGATTGGGGATGCTTGGCCGTGGAGTTTGGAAAGGGAGGAGATGATGGCTTGGTGATGGAGAAAGGTTTGGGTGTAATGATGTCCGGTGGTGGTGATGGGAGGAGTAAAGACAAAAGAAAAAGAAAGACCACGAACCCGGCCGTCTCCAAAGTTGGTGGGTGATCCGTTCTCCCTCTCCTAGGGATTTCTCCAAAGTTCTCTCCAAGAACTCTCTAACACTCTCAACACACAAGAACAAGAAAATTTTCTCATAATAATCATTCATTCCATGAAACAATAAGCAAAGGGCTATATATAGCCAAGTACAATGGACTCAAGAAATAAAAGACTCAATTGCCCTTTGGGCTTACATATGATAATTCCCATAAGAGGGGTACAAAGGGAAATAATAAAAGACACCTATAAAATAAGAAAATACATGAAATATAAAATACACCAATGACTCCGTAAAATAAAGACTCGATCGTGGCCGTAGATCGGTGGCCACGCCTTAATTCATGCTCTGATGTCCCCATCATTAAGTTGCTAGGATCTTAAGAGGCATCTAGAATATTTCAGTAGAAGATGACACTAATAACATAGTATATCAAGACCATAACAACTCTTTTATTTTCTTGTCTTGAAAAGATTTTCACTTGCTAGTATTGTGCTGAATTGGACTATGTTGGTTCAATATATATAAAAGGTTACCTTGCTAGTACTGTGCAAGTGAGAAAGCATAAAGCAGCGCTGGGAGTGTTGAGAGCAGAAACTAACCCTGGACATGTTGAACAGGAAGCACCATCAAGAGTATCTTCCTAATTGAGGTATGCCTTTTACAAAAGATTCTCCAGGGAAAGAAACTTAACACTGACTATTTTCAAATCTCCATTTAACCATGTTAAATATGGAAGCACAGCAGGTGTGCACCACGGGCTCCTTGTGGAAAATAGACATAATATTTGGGATACAGGATGGCATAAACTTTAGTCATGTAATAGAATACACAATATGGGATTTGGGAAACAGGATAGCATAACATAGAAAGTTCCCATAACCCGGGTTTCACATACATGAGTAGAAACACATATTCATATGTTTATATATTTAAACATATGAACTATAGCTAGTACATGCAAAAACATAATCATCCATTCATATATATGATCATAAAGACATGCAAAATATTATATTTAAAAAAGTATGAAGATATATTAGAAAAATAAATTGAAAAAAATAAATAGCAAATATCCTGACGGAATAACAAGCATATAATCTACCTAAATTTAGAGGGTATTGCATGTTGAAAAATTTTAAGTAGGCTAGAATATTAAGCATATATGAACGCAACCAATATACAAAATTCAAAGAGGAGAAATCCCAACCACAAAAAGGAAAGATTTTGTGGAGGATATCTGCCAAGCGACAATTCAAACATTTAAGAATAAAATGTCAGTCATCAAGTTTAGCCACAATATGACATCTAAAATTGATCAAAATTGGGCATGGAACCCGGTCCCAAATCAAACCAAACGACAAGGATAAGGAATTCAATCTTCTGAATATAAAAAAACTTATTCTAGCTTGAAAGAGAATATGCTGTCAAGTAATTTAGCTCCAGTAATTAAATGCAACAAATTAAACTCCCAAGTATTTGACATAAAAAGGTTTGAAACTTAATCAAAAGATGAAATGAAATTATAGTCTACGCTTGTTTGGCAACGCTCTACGGTTGTTGTACAATTTCACTTGTACTAAAAAAAAACCATTGCTACTCTCATAGAGATGGATGAGTTGCTTTTCAGTTTGCTGCTCAATATCATTAAGTTATGCAAAAGGTGCATATGCATAATAGTGCTCTTGTTGTATGTTTACCAAACAAATCAAAATTGTGATATGTTAGGCAATGCAAAGCTACTGAAAAAAAACTATAAATGAGGCCTTGTCAACTAAAATTGGTTTGTTGTTGATTTTTGGCTTCCAAAATTGCTAATTTTAGTTTGGAATGGGGTTAAAAAAGAATACATGCATATAATTTCAATGTAAGAACTTAATTTCAAACTACATTCTTTCTTCCATGCTTTAGTTTTATAACAGAAGGTCTATCAATCATTTTTTGAATAAGGTACTTAAAGTGCACATCATCTATAGTTTATGTTGCAGCAGACTGCAAACTAGTGGTTTGGATAAAAATAAGGATTAAGACAATAATTAAAAAGGTAAAAGGTGATTACCTTCTTTGCTCGTTTTACTGCTACAATCTGACCATCACCAAGAATACCCTTGTATACAGTTCCAAATCCACCTTCACCTAGCTTTAGTGAAGGCGAAAAGTTTTGAGTGGCTTTGATGATCTGATTCACAGTAAGTTGCAATGATCCAATTCTATTTTGTTGCGGAGATAATGAAAAACGAGATGGACTTTGAGGTACTTTATGTGGAGTTGTCAAATTTTTGTCAGGAGATGCGGATACATCTAAAGGAGTAACTGAATCCGCTGCAATAAGCAAACTCATTTGATAAGAATGAGGCTCGCTGAAAAATCTCACCGAATACAAACGTAGTATCAAAAATCAACCATATTATTAATATCATGAACAATTCAAATGGTCTTTTGGAAAAATAAAGCAATTTAAAGTTCACTTTCCAATGTGTATTAAGCATCTCCAATTGAATAATACTTGCTTTGTAATCAGAAAAATAAGTACAATTATGTTCTTCCATTCAAAAAACAAAATGATCAATCAAAATCTTAGATTTATACAAGGCATGTCTTTAAGGGAATATTGAGCTACAGTAAACCACAGCATACTTGGATTTGCAGCAACCTTGATACTGTACTTCACAGGTGAAAATCTACAAGTATAATACATCACAAAATACTCTAAAAGTTCAAAATTTTGAGTCTCCTTATTTAACTTACATGAATTTGTTTCATTGGCTAGAGCTTTCTGTTCAATTGGTTCTTTCCTCCTTGCACGAAAGCAGGGACAGATTACAGCACAACATAGAAGAAACATTCCTGGAAAAGCCAGAAACTTGCTTTTTGGTGGAATTTTTAATCTAAGATCTTTGACTTCGTACTTTGACAATTCCTTCCTGCTTAGCCGATCCAATTTAGAGGAATCTTTCTGAGGCTGCAACAAAAGTTTTCTACCTGCTGTATGAAAAACTTCCCCTGCAATTAACACAGATGTGGCAACGGAAAAAGACATCAAACACCAATCTCATTTGATGAAGAAGAAAAGCCTTTCAAAGGAAATTCCATTCCAGGGCTGTAGCATGTATCTAGCATTCTAGAAAACAAAAAGTAACATATTTGATAATTTAAACAAACATTTCTGAAAATAGAAAAGACTATATATGCTGATAACCTGTTCAAACCAAGCAGACTCATCATGAAAATCCAATATTAGCAAGACCACGATTACATAAGACTCTTATCAACTATCAAGTATCAACAACGGTTTATACAAGGCAATATGCTATCTCACTTATTCATACTTTGATGCAATACAAGCTTTCTTTGTCAATGAAAATTCAATAAATTACTGCTTCATCTAACAACTAAAGCACAATCTTCAACTCCATCATCCTAACACGACATCTGATGGAAACATAAAAAACTGCTAGTCTTGAAATCATCTACTCCATTAATTTGTACGCTAATTTAAACGAATCAAAATATTAACAGCACAAACAACAACAAAAACTCATGTGAAACAGGAAAGAAAATTACCAGAAACAGCATCATGGTCCAAGCCAGCAATATACTTGAAATTCCGAGCGCAGTACTTTCTAGCTATCTCCCCCCACTCCTCCACCCGAGAATCAAACTCCAAACATTTACTTGCTAAAAAAAACGCCAACGCCTCGCACATCAAAACCCGATCATCAATCGGTTGACCGTTTACAAAAACCCTATAGCCATCTTGCAATCTTAGATATCCAACGCGATCGGAACTGCAGATTCTCGAAACACCTCTCACCGATTCACCAACCGCAGCCTCCGCGAACGGCGAAGCCACAAGTATGAGGAAAGCAAGGATCGAAGCCATCACTGCAGGATTCGAGCACAGCCAAAGCTACCCAAGAAAGACATCTCGAGCTCGAATTGGACTGCAAGAGAAATCCCAAATCCGTGAAGAGAATCGTAAAGGAATTGATACAGGGCAAGTGAATTGTGGAGGACCGGATGGAAGAGCACGAAAGTGGACCAAGATGGAGCTGGGATGGTAGCGGCTAACCGGGAAACTGGCGGCTTACCTGTACGGACAGATGGTAGCTGGTGACGGTAACATTAGTTCTTGGTCACCTCGTAGACCGGCGGTCGAGAGAAAATCGGGGTGAAGAACACGGTTCGGCCCGCGGGATTATAGGCTTTCGGGCACTAAAATTTGATTTTTTTTGGGACTAAAATTTTTTTTAGTAGAAATTTGATTTAGAAAATAATAAGAAAATTATTCTAAATGAAATTAAAGATGGCATGATAATTTTTGCACTGCTTTGCTTTCAAAATTATAATTATAATTTTTATTTAATTATATTATTATTATTTTTAATAATTTTTTATGCTACAAAATTATTATTTTTAGCAATTTTTTAAAAAATATTTTTTTTTTTCATAATAATTTTAAAATCATCTCTACAATTGAAGTTGTCCTAAATAGAATCTAAAATAATAAAAGAAGGCCCATAAGAAAAATTGAGTCATCAATCATATGACATGCTTGTAGAGTCAAATTTATATGTTGTATTATATTAATAGTTTTATTTTCAAGCCAATTATTACATGACAATGTGTTTTGTATTTTTCCAATAGAAAGTGTGATTATTTTTTGGCATACAAGATAATAAAAGAAAAATTTACTTTAAAATATACACTTGAATAAATCTAAGGGGCTATTTGGTTTGCTGTATTTAGGGTGTAGCTAGAATAATCAAAATGCAGGGGTTTTAATAATTTGGATGTTTTATTGAATGAAATGCAGTGCATTCTATTCTAGTTCATTTTTTATGTATTTGGAATTCCTCCAATTTGGGCAATTTCCAAATACATCGCAAACGCAATAATATTGCCACCCTTTGTCGGCCACCTCCTCCCGCTAACAGCCACCGCTGCTGTCATGACTCGGCCCTGATGCTCGACTTAACAATACGGGAATTAAAAGTCGGACAGTATAATCAAATCATTACAATTCATAAGCAATACAATATACAATTTTTTTCATTCATTTGAAGAGCCACTAACAAAATTTTCTTAAATACTGAACATTTGTATAAATCATAAATTAACTATTTTCATTATTGTGTCGTCGTCTATAAACAAACTCTTTCTTTCCAACCATTTCTAATTCTAGAGATTTACCTGAATCAGTAATTTGATGGGTTGAGTTTACTAAGTAAACTTAGTGGGTGATTTCTATAATATATATATATATATATATAGTACAATATATATAACCTTTGATAAATATCTATTCATTTAACATTTGATATACTTTTTTGATTCTTTGATTCATTATGTTCCATTCATTCCTTTATCTATATCATATCATATTCATATATAACATTTATAATATTTTAACATGTATCCATTTTTTCATTTAATTAGTACGGGAGCACCGTCTAAATGTACCAAATGTACAATCATTTATATTTATTTTTCCTTTTCTATAATATTTTCCTTTTACTTGCATGAGTACGTTGCTTTCCCATCCAATACCATACGTGGATGAACTCCTATAAATTTTGCATGCATTTTTTTCTCTTATTTATTTATTTATTTTCATTTATTCATATATCATTCCTTCGTATGTATATATACCTCTTTCACATATACATATACTTTCATTCATGACATTTCATTCATTCATTTTCAGTTATAATAATATTTATATTCATTTATATATTTGAACTTACATTGCTTCACACATGATAGTTTCCAAAAAGAAGTAAAACCTTTGAAGTAAAATCATTATATAAAATATTCTGTCATGTTTGAAAGAAAAAAAAAATTAAAATTTTCACAACTATAATTATCCACTTTATTTTCCTCTTCCAATCTTCGTCTAGTATTGAAAATTATTCACCATAACATAATAATTTAATTAATATTATATATCTCAATAAACATTTGATTTCTTCTACAAAATTTACCTCACAATATCTTCTTTCCTGCCTCATAAATCTTCTTTCCTCCACCATCAAACCAAAGTCTATATCACTTGGATTCTTCCAATCTAAATTAAAATAAGTTCTCATTATTAATTCACTATAAGAAACGAGAAAAAGAAACTTAACTTAAAACTAATCACTACCTTTCTTTAAGAAGGAAGTCCAAAGTCCAATCTCCTTAGTCTTCCTTCTCCCCCAATTCTTTCTCCTCACTTTCAATCTCTTCATTTTTCCGTTTATGAAAATATCACTTGCTTTGAATGAAGTAAAACAAGGAAATTTATATAAAAATGGAAAAAATTCAACAAACATTCTTCCTCTTCTCTTCGATCGTTCCTCTCGATTATCATTGTCTCTTCCAAATCTCCACTTCTTTAGCGATAAGAATGGAAATGAGTTGATGATTCTTATTTCTGAATATGATTATTTGCTACAAATGGCGAAACTAAACTTCCCCAAGCCCTTTCGTGCAAGTTGAACCAGTTATAACAATCTCCCAAGAAATTTAAACTACAACAATATCATCATCAAGCATTTGTCCCACTACGTGAGGTCAGCTACATGATTCCTTTTTCTCCATCGTGCCCTATTAAAAATCAAATTCTCATTTAAATTTAATAAAGAAAGATCATTTCTAATATTTTCTAACCAAGTATTTTTAGGTCTACCTTTACCTTTCTTAACATGAGTCAAATATAATACCTCTACTTCCCTAATCAGGTTATCGGAAGGCCGTCATTTTATGTGACCAAACTATCTAAGGCAACTCTCTCTAATCTTATCTTCCACTATAGCTACTCCAACCTTTTCATGTATATGCTTATTTCATATACTATCTCTAAGGGTAAAGCCACTCATCCACTTGATCATCCTCATCTCTACAACACCTAACTTAGTATTATGCTTCTCTTTTAATGACCAACATTCGACACCATTAAGTATTGTAGGTCTCACCACCATCTTATATAATTTTCCTTAAATTTAAGGGGAACTTTTCCATCACACAACAAGCCCGATGCATTCCTCCACTTCAACCATCCAACTTAAATTCTGTTGATAATATCCCTATCTATTTCACCATTATTATGAACAATAGATCCAAGATATCTAAAACGTGTACAAAGACTTGATCGCTCAAAGTCACAATCCCTTCACTAGGTCTATTACTACTAAAATTACACTCCAAATATTCAGTTTTAGATCTACTTAAGCGAAAATCTTTAGACTCTTAGGTTGACCTCCATAATTCAAGTTTACATTCAACTCCCCCTCTGGTCTTATCCATTAGAAGAATATCATCAGTAAAAAGCATACACCAAGGTACATCCTCTTGCAAATGTTTAGTGAGAACATCCATGACTAAAGTAAAAAGATATGGGCTTAACATTGATCCTTGATGTAATCCAACTGAAATAGAAAAATACTTGGTCAAACCAACTTGTGTTTGAACACAAGTAATAACTCCTGCATATATATATATATATATAATTATTTGAATATAAGTGTTATTAACTCCTTTCTTTTCAAGAAATCTCCATATTAGAACTTTATCATACGCTTTCTCTAAATCAATAAAGATCATATATCCTCCTTATTCTCTCTATATTTCTCCATCAAACCTCTCAATAAATATATGACTTCTATAGTAGACCTACCTGGCATGAATCCAAATTGATTTTGAGAAACATTAGTATTACACCGCAACCTATGCTCCATTACCGACTCCCATAGTTTTAAAGTATGACACGTTAACTTAATTCCTCTATAATTTGTACAATCTTGTGCATCACCTTTATTCTTAAAAATAGAAATTAACACACTCATTCTTCATTCATCGATCATATTTTTAGTCTTCAAAATAGTATAAAAAAAGTTTAGTAAGCCAAGAAATTCATTCATCTCCTAACCATTTACACACCTCTATTAGAATATCATCAGGTCCAATAGCTTTTCACATTCTTCATTAAAAAGTTTACAAAAATATCTCATTTATCTTTGTTAAATATCATCTTCTAAGAAGAAATTTAAATAGCAAAAACATAAATATATTTATATTGTCAAAATTTACACATTGACCCAAAGTAAAAAATAACATATATAATAGTCCTGATATGCAACTAACAAGAGTACATCTATATAAATACATCATGATTACAAAAGAATAAAAGAAAGATTAATAGATGTTAAAAGAAACCCCAACATTCGGCCTAAAATAACCTCAATCTATTGAATCATTACTATTGTCTGAAAATATGTAAAAAAAATACATACTATTCATTAACTTCAAAAAATTATAACTATCAATTAACTAGGTGAAATTTTCATATAAACTAAGCAAAATATTTAGAATAACGATATACATCACATAACAAAGTTACTTGGTAAAATTTCACTAAAAATAGATATCACCTTTTTATCACTTTCAGGAGGTAGAAATGTATCAAGCTCAAAATTATTGAAAACATAAATAGATTAGAGGCCACTTACAATAATGAGAACAACTTTTATAACAGAAGTGACAGACAAAAAATCTCCAGAGAGCTTTCTCTCTCTTTTCTCTTTCTCCTCTTCTCTCTCCCTTATAGTTATCTTCTCTTTTCTTTCCTTCCACGGAAAGCCAAATGAATGAGGGGTTATGAGGAAGATGGTGAAGGGTATTTATATTAAATATATTAAAAACATGTTTCAGTGTCCATTATTGTGACACCTAGCTTTTTAGTGTCACTACATTGCATGTTTATGTTAGAGTTACTATAGAATAGAGCTTTCAATGCCATGAGAGCATTTCCTCGTGCCACAACACTGCATGTTTGATCTAAAAATTTTATATTACAAATAATCTCATTTTAAGAATTTTTGGGTTCTTATATTATCTCTCATAAATCTATTAAAGATACATCATTTTCTTATTTTTATATATAATAAATATGAACATTTTGATATAATCATAATGCATTTTCATTGACTAAATTTATATATATGAGTTTTATGTAGAAAGTGAATAGTGATTAAACATGCATAAAATAATGAAAAA